ATTTTTAAGTTTACATTTTTTTGTTGCTGTCTATTTCTTTCTGTGAAATAAAGGAACTAACAAAATACACAAAAAAGTAAGAAAAAGGTAAAGGACAGAAAGTTTTGTTTTCCTTTTATTCCTATGTGCTTTGAATTAATTTGCCTTTATTGCACATAAATAGAAAATTAAATACAAAATGTAAAACAACATAACACAGTAGTAGAAAACTGCTGCTGTGGTGTGCTTTCAGCATTATTAATTTCATACTGACAAAGATTAAGGTGGCATTCTGTTTCTGGCACCTTGGTTTCAGTCCATTTGCTAAATTTCCACACCCTGCATTTTTATAACTCATACTTAAATTGTTGACCTTTATTGTGACAAAACCACTGGTGATCCTTCTGATCTACCACTCTCTCACTCACTGCACTACCAGTCCTTTGGTCAAAATGCCAACCTAGAATACCATTTTTTATTTTTGGGTGTGTTCTGTGATAAAGAGCTTGCTGTCTGCAAACAGATGACATTGATATTATACATGCATATGTTCCAGTAGTAAAATACCAATCCCTTGTACAAGAATGAGTTATTAAAACAAGAATCCCCTATATCTCTGGCTCTGATCCACACATAAGTTATATCCTCCAGTTCTAATCTTTACATTTGTATCCCTGCACTTCATAGGCTAGTTTCAGTGCACACTTTATCTACTATTTACTATTATGAGAATCACTTGTTGACTTATAATTATATTACCATATAAACTTCTGTATGTGCTGAACTTAAGGATGTTGACAATAATAAAAAGGGGCTGCAGTGGGCTGATTGAAATAATTATAATGCTCAGGTAACTCATTACAATATATTACTTATTACTTATACTTATTACTTATATTACTTATATATTACTTACAATATATGACTTTACTTATTTTGAATGAATTTAAAACAATGAAATACAAAAATACAAATCCACTCTGCACATAATGCTTTAATTGGTAAATTTCTATCTATCTATCTATCTATCTATCTATCTATCTATCTATCTATCTATCTATCTGTTAATCCATCATTTGTCTATCATATTTCTGTATATGGTTCATATTTAAACACTTTTATCTTCTATCTTTTTTAACCAATATTTTAATTAATTATTAAAGTATTTCACATTGAAACGAGTGCTGTTTCTATGTCATATATCTATTTTAGGTTACGCATATAGCTCTCCATTATGATAGTGACCTAGATGTAATTACTGGCTTAAGACATAAAACAAACTATGGAAGGCCCAACTGGCATAAAGAATTCCGGTGTATAGCAGACAAACATCCAAGGTAATTTATATGTCTTATTTAGTGATTTTTTTTATTATTGCAGGGATCATCATTATTGAAGTGAACTTTATAAACTTTACAAAACCTTAGAGGACATAAAACTGTAATTAAGCAATCAAATGTAACTAGATGTGTAGTTAAAAAATGCGGAGTAAACTCACCTTAAAGTGTATGTATAGCCAAAATTTTTTGTGTTTGATTGAGTAGGGAAAGGTTAAAACCCCTGTCAGGTTATTTTTCTGCTGTCTTTGTACCACTGGGTAGAAAATGGTAAGTCCCTCCGCACTCCTCACAGCACATCCGGCCAAATAGCAATGGTGGTGCTCGCAGTGATACTCACGGATGGCGCCGTGCACAACAACAGTGAAAAGCAGGAATCACCAGCACTCGGTAAATGATGTTCAAATAATAAACGTCCATTTATCAGGACAAGTCGTCACAAACGAAAATACCAACGTTTCGGGGCCGCACAGGGTCCCTTCATCAGGGTGACAATGTGACAAGTGACTACATGATAAAAACCCACATATATACCCCTTGGGAAAATACCAAACAAGATTAAGGCACCTCTGTAAAAGTTTTAACCCTTCACTATTGCATTCAAAATGTAAGAAAAAGGCTTTGCCTAGAGATATACTGTAAAGTGAATCTCCTCCGTGCTGTCTTTCTTCTTAGGGATATGTCTTCCAACAGTGAAAAATTCTTAGAGGGCTATTCACAAAAGGGTGAAGAGTTTGGAGAAGGCAGGAGAAGTGAACAATTTAGGCCAAAATAGCCGATTTTGAAACATTTTCCAGTTCAGCTCACTTTCCAGTTCATCTTTGTCGTCCTAGATTGTTCACTTCTCCTGCCTTCTCCAAACTCTTCACCTTTTTGTGAATAGACCTGTTAGTGGCTCCACTAGGGCCAGACACCTGGTTGCTTATATCTCTGTAACAACAAAGACCAGTGTTTATCCATCTAGAGCTGGCTTGCGTGCTGTTAGGCCTTACATTCTGATTCACTGATAGTGTAGTAGTGTAATAGTTATAGTGTAAATGTGCCAAAAGTTTTAAAGATATATAATGATTCAGCTTATTTTTTAGGCTGCTGGGGCACTGTACTAACCTCATAAAGTAATATTACTTGATAGTTGATTGGAACATGTCATTTATTCATCAATATTTATTTTTGTTTTAAGATATTTTATATTTATCTATTGAAGCTAAAAAGAATTTGTTCTATATACTAAGTACATTGTGTCAAGGAAAAAAATTAGAAGTTCACCGAATCTTCCCTTTACACCAAATGTAGTGATCCTGGCATGCAAGCCATTACATAAGCAGTGTTTAAAATTACAAAAAATACATACAGAAGTATCCATTGTACGCAGATTTTTTTCCATTATTTAGAAATAACATGACTTACCCATACTGGCCATGACACCTAAATACTAAATAATTCTTTATTTTATTTTTTTCTACATACTGAGTACATTGTGTCAAGGAAAAAACATTGAAGGTACATTGTATCTTCCTTTTACACCGAATGTAGTGATCCTATCATGAAAGCTATTACATAAGCAGTGTTTAAAATGACAAAAATCATATAAAGTAGTATCCAGTTTATGCAGTTTTTGTCTTCTATTTAGAAATAAAATGATTTACCCGTATTGACCATGGCACTTAAAAAAAAAAAGAATGAATCAGAATTTGTGTGTATCATTATTTATGCACTGTTACTGTTTTATTTACCTCCGGCAGGCTACTCGCTGCTGTTCGGTCTATTCTCATAGATGCCGAACAGCAGTGAGTGAATAGCCGAATGCTGCCAAGCGGCATTCGGCTCGGCAAAAAAGCCTAACTCTTCCGGGCGCTCCGGGAGTCTCCCGCTCCCGGCCGCCAAGGAGAGAAACACTGCTTTTTCTTTTTTTTTCTTATTCTGACACGGAGCCGTGTCAGAATAGAAAAAAAAATTACATTATTTTTGGCTGTAGAAAGGCATTGCTAGATTTCAATTTGCAATAGCCAATAGCAAATAGCAAACTAGCATTGTACCCGCCCTCTGCTGCTGTCAATCAGTAGTGGACCTGATGGAGAGCTGCAGCAGAGGGCGGGTGCAATGCTAGTTTGCTATTGGCTATTGCAAATTGAAATAGCCAATAGGAATCTAGCAATGCATTCCTATGGCCAAAAAAAAAATATATTTTTTTTATATTCTGACACTGCTCCATGTCAGAATAAGAAAAAAAAGCAGTGTTTCTCTCCTTAGCGGCCGGGAGCGGGAGACTCCCGAAGCACCAGGAAGAGTTAGGCTGTCTGGAGATCAGTGTCCCTGGTTAGCTGGTAACCAGGGACGCTGATCTCTCTGCAAGTGGCCGGAGCCAGCCATAAGATCACGGCTGTCTCCGCCCAGTTGTCAGAAGCAGGCTGTCAGCCGGCCAATGGCCGGCCGCTCAGCCAGCTTCGGCTTTCAGCGCGGCCCAGCCGAGGCTAATGCGTTCAGCTCGACTGAGCCGCTCGGTTAAGTTCGGGAGCTGTACGGGCTATTGTGAATAGCCCGTACAGCAGCCCGTATAGTAGAACCGAAGGGGTCCTGGGGCCGAAGCTAGCCGAAGGATCAGCCGAAGCTACAGCTAGATCCTTCGGCTGCTTCGTGAATAGACCCCTATATTTCCCATAATCCCTTGTAGTTATGGTATTATATACAATAGTAGAGGGCTGGGTGCAGTATAGTATCTGTATGCTCATAGAACACAAGCTTAACAGTTACTTACAGGGTTATTCACAAAAGGGTGAAGGGTTTGGAGAAGGCAGAAGTGAACAATCTAGGACAACATAACTGAACTGGAAAGTGAGCTGAATTGGAGAATGTTTCCAAATCAGCTATTTTGTCCTAGATTGTTCACTTCTCCTGCCCTCTCCAAACTCTCCACACTTTTGTGAATAACCCTGTTCAATAGATAAACTACTGTTTACATTTTTGAAAATTTGAATTACAAAGGCATACACTTTGGAGTTTCAAGGTTATGTTTAAGCTCTTGCAAAATTAGCTGTAGATGAAGTTTGGTATATGTTTTACTACCATTCTATTATCTATACAAAATAAATTTGTTGCATTTGCTGCACCTACTTAAATGCATAGATATGGATAAATACAGAACACATGGTTATTGCTGGCAATAACTTCTTATTGTATCTAATTATTAAACTGTTCCATAACAATTTTCTTTTTTTCTTGGATTCTTGGAGACTGAATTCTATTAATCTCAGAAAATAGATAATAATTTAAGGTTATTTATTTGTGCATAATTAGGATTGAATAGGTATATTATTGGCAGTAAAAGCTGCCTGGGATAAATATAACAATATTTGAATCGTTTAATTGTTTTGGCCAACCTTTGGATCTGGATAATGGATTTCAAATAAAGAATTATACAAAAATTACATAGCAGTATGAATTTACAAGGTTTTTAATGTGGTCCTTTATAGTCTGTTAGTTTTTTATTACTGCTGCTTTGTTAATTATCTGTAGCTGAATTTCTAGTAGCATAAATATTACACTATTAAATCTTTTGAAATCTTTTTTTTTTGTTAATCAGTGAAAGCATTGGAGTGTTCTATTGTGGCCCAAAGTCTCTCTCTAAAATCCTCAATAGTATATGTCGTTTACATTCATCATCTGATCCAAGAGGAGTCCATTTCCATTTCAGTAAGGAAAGCTTTTGATGTGCCGGAGCACAGAGACTCACTAACATTTTCTGAATGTTTTCGGTGGCATATGGATATGATCAAAGTGTATGGTTTGGACCCTTTTCTTCGTGGAAGCTTTCAATAGATGTTGTTGCCACCTTAAAATGCTTAAATGGCACAGTTTCAAGGGCAACTAACCAATATTAAAGCTTAGAATTGTAAACTGAATTCAAAGTAAACTAGTTTAGTAAAATAAATATTATTAGATTGTGGCTTTATTGACTGATAAGACTACTGATTATTAAAATGTATGATTCTTATTTGTATGATATGGCATACTTAAGATATGTGATTAAACATTCCTTGAAAGCAATATCATTTTAACACACATACATGTACCATGGCACACAGATTGGGAATCTTCCTCCTAGCAGATTCTTAAGTGTAACTCAGGGGCAGATCTAGAGTCTAGTCTCGGGAGGGGCACCGCCAAAAAATAAGCCCCCCGCCCCATCTGGCTCTTCCACTGCTACTGTGCCACCCCTTTCCTCTCTCACCACCTATGTGTCCACTGCCCCCCCAGCTCTCCCCCCGGTGTACAACGCACTCCCCTGGCTTCTCCTTCTGGGATCTTGCCGCCGCTGTCACCTTGGGCGGTCTGTACTCACACAAATTAGGCAGCTGCAAAGCCCCGGCATGGGCTGAGACGGCCGCCTAATTTGCTTAACTACAGTGCAGCCTCTGCTTTGGGTCCTGATTGCTCGGTGCAGCCGGCCAGGCCCAGGGCGTAGGGTGGGAGCGATAATAATAAACGCAGAGTGTGGAGGTGAGTAATGTGATGCAGTGCAGAGGTCAGTAATGTGACGCAGTGTGGAGGTCAGTAAGGTGACGCAAGGCACGGAGGTCAGTAAGGTGACGCAGTGCAAGTTCAGTAATGTGACGCAGTGGGGAGGTCAGTAATGTGACGCAGAGCTCAGTAATGTGACGCAGCGTGGAGGTCAGTAAGGTGACGCAGCGTGGAGGTCAGTTAGGTGACGCAGTGCGGAGCTCAGTAATGTGACGCAGTGTGGAAGTCAGTAATGTGACGCAGCGTGGAGGTCAGTAATGTGACGCAGTGCGGAGGTCAGTAATGTGACGCAGTGCGGAGCTCAGTAATGTGACAATGCCTAGAGACATCCAGCAGCCCGGAAGTGGTGGCAGAGATGGCGGTGATGAGGGACAGAGCTGAGGACCGAAGATCCATTACACAGCATTGGAGAAGGGCACACTTGTAAAGTAAGTGTGCCATAATGTGCAAGTATGCAGTGTACATTATGGTAAAAGCCCAACCAGCACACAGCGGTTTACAACCACTTTAAATGAGGATGAGCCTTTTAAAGTGCCTAAACAATAATGAAAATCTTATTACAGGGGTCGACTTTGACTTGATTTCTTTTTCAGTGTAGGCCTTTGAGAATAGCAGTGAGTCAATCACACAAGCTGGAAATTACATTTCTGGAGAGTTCTGTACACATGGAGCGCACAGAAAGCCCCCAGGATGCTGTATGGCAATGAGGTGATATTTGAATACTTTGACAGATTTAGAAAATCATAGCGATGGCAGACTGAAATAAATGTATTATTAATCACATTCAATTACAAAATGGCTTGTGTAACAATTATATATATTGTATCACATTTTAGCACTGAGGCTTAACAATGCTGTAAGCTGTATTGTAATACTTGCCTGTGAATTATGTCTCGGTTAGATCCCACATATCGTATGGATGACTTTGTTGTTTTCAAGTACCAGTGTTTATTTAAACATCAACAAGAATTGCAATGCTTACACATTAATATCAACATGGTTGATAATAGAAAAAGTGAGAAATAGCAAACATCTAACTTTTAATATTCCAACATAAGTGGAGACGGAAGCGCCACAACCTAGCGCAATGACTGTGGTGGGAAAAGGCTGGGGGTACAAAGTATTCGACCTGTGAATGGGTGAGCACTTGTTTTGACAGACTAATGCAGAGGACAATGTGGAGCAATGGTGTGGAGTGGTATGGTCGAATCGTTTCTTGCTGGGTGGCGATGATATGGACTCGAGTAGAGAGATGGAAACGAAATAGCAGAATAGCAAGGTGAGGCTAGAGGATGAGCACAGGAACAAATGTTGTTTTTTCAGCACACACGTCGGACACCCCGGTCCGAAGTAAACAGAAGCCGCACACCAGCACAAGACCCCAAAAACTTGTCTCTCCCTTCCCCCTCCACAGATTGTTTAATCTTTGGAATTTCTCCCACCTCCTAGCAATGCATACTGGACAATTTCTCAATCTTCTAATATTCCAACATACACTATGCAGGGTGCACTATGTTTTTTGTTTTAACAGAAATTGAGTGACAGCTTGTCACCTAGACAGGCAACACTCTATACTAAGCTCACAGCACTTTCCTGGGAGTATCTATGGGAGATGCTGAAGCCACAATTCGTACTTCTTCGTTCTAAAAAAAACAAAACAGCGACTCTACTTAGTAGTTCTTAGATCTTAACACTTCTCACCGTGATTAAATAAGAACTGCAGATACAGGCAAAAGTTCAATATAGATTTGTATGATCGTGTTGTAAATAAATGGAAGATATTTCAAACATTTCCAGGGACACCTTTTTTGCTGTGCACCCAGCAAACCAGTGTAGGCAGAGAATGTATTTTATTTACGTTGTTGCATAGTATTTGAGGTTGAATAAAGACGCAGGTACATCAAGTTTAACCTATGAGAGCGTGTGTGTGGGTGTCTTTGTGTACCAGTCATTAAGAGTACTTGTACCCTTGTATGTTATGTTCTCTGAGGAAAGCATCCAAACAATTCCAACAGAAAAGAATTCCCTTTGTGGTTAAACCTTTTCTCCTCCAATTTCAGGTGGTGGCTACTTGTCTTCTTTAGTGAGTTTATAGTAAAAAGTTTATTACTGATATTACCATCACCATTAAACAGTTTTTACATTAAAATCATGTCCCCTCTTAATCGCATGATTTCTAGAGTGAACAAGTTTACATTTTGCAATCTTTCCACATAGCTTAGGTCCTCCAGCTCCTTTATCAGTTTTTTTTGTCATTCTCTGGACCCTCTCCTTTTCAATTACATCCTTTCTGTGGATTGATGACCAAAATTTAACCGCATACTCAAGATGAGGATGAACCAGTGTTTTAAAAAGTGGCAAAATTATTGCTGTGTCTCTAGAGTACATTACAAAACACAAAAAGATCCCCATCACACCTCCCAGCTAGCCTGCAACAAAACAAATTACCCTGTCTAACAGTATGCGTTAAAAGCAAAGGTTTTAGTTGCACAAACATTTGGCCAAAAATATGTGGCAGCCACACTGCCATAGTCATGGCACCTCTGTAAAGTGTGGTCCTAACTCTATTAGTATGAGTCTCCAAGTGGGAGCATAGAGTAAATAGAGTGTCTCTAGAGTACATTCCCTTTTTTATGAATGACAGTACTTTGTTATCTTTGTTTGCTGCAGCCTGACATCGCATACTATTATTTCATCTGCAATCAATTACCCTGCCAAGCAGAGAGCAGTAGAGTGCTACAGCAACAACAATGCCCAGCAGAATGTTACACCTATAAAGCCCAGCAGATTATTGCAGCATCAATGCCCAGCGGATTATAATGCCACAATGCCCAGTACCTCATTACAGCAACAGCGCCCAGCAAATTACTACCACACAGTGCTCAGCAGATTATTACTACAACAGTGCCCAGCAGATTACCGCAACAGTGCCCAGCAAGTTAATACAGCATCAGCGCCCATCAGATTAAACCAAAACAGTTCCCAGCAGATTACCACAACAGTACACAGCAGATTATTACTACAACAGCGCCCAGCAGATTACCGCAACAGTGCCCCGCAAGTTATTACAGCATCAGTGCCCAGCAGATTAAACCAAAACAGCGCCCAGCAGATTACCACAGGACACATCAGATTATTACCACAACAGTGCTCAGCAGATTATTATCACAACAGCGCCTCGCAGGTTATTACCACAACAGTGCACAGCAGACTATTACCCCAAGAATGCCCAGCAGAATTTTACCGCAACAATTCCCAGAAGAATATTACCTCAACAGTGCCCAGAAGAATATTACCTCAACAGTGCTCAGAAGATTATTACCGCAGCAGTGCCCATCAAATTATTACCACACAGTGCCTAGCAGATTATTGTAGCAACAGTGCTCAAAAGATAGTTACGGTCCTAAATTAATAAAGGGCCAGTGCCCAGAAAACCATGCACACACCGACTCTGTTTTCAGCACACTCTAACAGCCTCCCTCATGTAACAGCAGTGTCTCTTCCAACATCAGCAGTTGCACACCAGCTTTCAGTTACTGACATCCACACCAACGCAATGCACAGAGTGAAGAGGTCAGAAGTAAGTAGCACAGAGTGGGAAGGTCTGGAGTAAGTAACACCCAGACTGCAGTGGTCAGAAGCAGAGCCGTAGCTAGCTCCTTTTGCGCCTGAGGCAGGAACAGAAAATTGTGCCCCCTCCTAACAGACGGCGGCGTGCATGCGTAGAATGCGCTGGCGTCAGATCCAAAATAGCATGAAAATTTGTTTAGTTTGACAAAATGAATGAAAACATTTTTAGTTTCCATTCATTTTGTCCGACACAAATTTTTAGTCTTTGCACATGTCTAGTACTATGTGTGCATGAGTGTGTGTGTGTGGGGGTAGTTGTTTTTTAAAACTTTAATTTTTTTTATTATTATTATTATAATTATTTTTTTTTTACTGTTGGGGGCTTCAAGGAAATATCAGGGGTCTAAACAGACCCCTGACATTTTCCTTTTGAAATAGAAAAAGAAATTGAGCACACGGAGTCCTCAATCTCTTTTTCTGCAGCCTCTGTTCTAAATTAATGGAAAGCACTCAGTATAGAGGCTACCCATTCATTCAGAAACTGGTGATAGTAAAACATGATAGTAAAACATTCATCCAGTTATCAATGGGTAGGAGCCTCTGTAGTGAGTGCTTCCAC